GAGATGGGTCCCTGAGAGACGAAGTTTCCCTAGGAGAAGAGGGGCACTGGGTGCAGAGGGGTCATGTGGGGAGGTGTGCCGCCTGCTATCTGAATGCCCCCCCCCTAAGGCCCCCATGGGGACCCTGCTACACTTGACCCTGAAGTCCTGAGGGGCGAAGAGAGCGAAGAGATCCAAGAGGGCTGAGACGGCCAAGGTGGCTAAGAGGGCCAAGGAGGCAAAGTGGGCTGGGAGGGCTGAGAGGCTTGAGGCGGCGAAGATGGCGAAGAGGGCTAACAGGGCTAAGAGGGCTAGGAGGGCTAGGAATACCCAAAGGGACCCAAGAGCCTCGCCGCTGAGGAGGCGAGGAGGGTGGGGACTAGACGGCTGTGCCATCTGACCGCCCCCAACCTGACGACTCCCACCCTAAGTACCCCCCACCCCATCCCGTGGAGAGAGGGGCCATGGGCGGAGATCTGCCATGGGACCCTGCCAAGACCTGGAGGCGAACGCGCGCGTGCCATCTGACTGTCCGCCCTCTCCCGCCCTCCTGAGGCCCTCTTGGGACCCTCTTGGAAACCTCCCGTGTGCAATTCCGGGGGAGCTCCGGGCGGCACCCAACAAGCCCCTCGGGGGCCCCCCAAGAGGAAGGCCAGAAGGAGGGCCCCAGGAGGAGCCCGGCCGCTGGGAGGGCGGGGCCTGGCGGGGAACCCTGCCCAGAGCCCGCAGAAGCCGCAGACGGCACCCAAGAAACTGCTCTTAGGTCGGGCGTGTCCCCCCCTACAGGCGGATTTTGGACGAGAAATTCAAAATACTGTCAAAAATTGTTCAAACACATATAAAAATAATGTTCAGACTATTTGTTCACTATGTTTTAATATTCCTCCTGTAGAGGGACATGCCCGACTTAAAAACTGCTCGGGGGGGCCCATCAAGGAAGCCCCCACAGAGGGCCAGGCCACTGGGAGGAGGACGAGTGCGGTCGGTCCCTGGGCCGACGGCTTTCAGACAGCGACGACCTGGCGACGTGGCCGCATCGGAATCGCACGGCCAGACTCGCCACGAAGTCGTGGTGGGAACGCGCTCCAGGACGGGAGCCCGATCCGATGGCACACCATTAGCCTGCTCGGGCCCCCCCCCCCGAAATCCCGAGGAACACCCGACAGCCTATAGAGTTATGTTGCTCCCATCGCACTTAAGGACCACATCCCATACATGATTTTGAGCACCCGGAAAATTGCCGAAACAGTGTCGAAACAGTGTCGGACGAGTGTTTCCCAGGGCCTGGCACGTGAAAGCCCTCGAGCTTCGGTACTTTGCTGGTGCTCGAAAAGTTCTTGCTGGTGGGCAAGGCTAAGAAGTAGGTTGGAACATCACAACTACAGAGGGCCCCCAGGGGGGCGCCGAGGAGCCCCCCTCCCGACGCCCCGAGGGCCGCGGAGGACGACGAGGAAGGCGGGCCACGGACACCCTGGCCATCCGACTGCCCCCGGCTCCCCCCCTCCCCCGCTTTTGGGGGGCGAGGGGAGGGGGGTCCGGCAGGAGAGGGTTGGGAGCGGAGGGCCCCCACAGAGCCAGCTGCCCGCCCGAGTAGGAGGAGGAGGAGGAGGAGGAGGAGGAGGAGGAGGAGGAGGAGGAGGAGGAGGAGGAGGAGGAGGAGGAGGAGGAGGTCGAGACAGGAAAGGCTCCAGGGGCGCCTGCCGCCGTCCCCATCCACGCTCCTACTCCCACGATCCGACCTCCATACCTCTGCTGCGGGTCCTCCTCTGTCTCTCTGACTCCGCAGCTGCGCTTGGTTCCGGCACGATGGCATGCGCCCTCGAGCTGCTCGCCGCATGCCGCCCAAGTCGTGGGGGTCGCAGCCAGACAGCGCGTGCTCTGTGCTTCCCGAAACAATGCTTGCACTTACGGGTTCTTATCTCTTGTCGGAGGGACTGGGACTGGGTGTTGGTCCAGCGTATATGTAGCCGCCGCCGCCGCCCCGTCGCCGCCTGGTCGCCGCCCGTCGTCTACATATATTGCACAACGTATATTGCACAACGTAGATTGCACAACATAGAGAACACCACATATACTGCTCCAAATAGGTTGTACAACATCTAGTGTACATCATATCATGCTCCACACAGATTGCGCTGATTATACTGCTCCATGTTGATTGCGCCATATAAGTGGCACCGTATATGTTCCTCTTCCTATATTGTACAACAAAGATTGCGCCTCATTGACTGCACAACATGACTTGCACAACATATGTCGCATCACCCAAATTGCACAACGTAGGCTGCACCACATACATGGCACAACCCGGATTGCCCCCCACACACACACACATAACGCATCACATAGCTTGCACCACATCCATTGCTAGAAACATTATGTTTGGGGTACACGCTGGCTAAGCTTGTTTTGTGATATGACCACACACATTAAATGGTGGACGCGGGGCCAATCCGCAAAATGATTGCCAGAGCACAGAGAGAGAGGGAGCGAGACAAGACGGCGAGATTGCCAGAGATACACCGCATATCGATGACGCGCGAGAAGGAAAACATTCAAGATATCCACTCTGACAGCCAGATGGGGAGAAATAACGCCTGAGTGTGCAGACATTTTAAGCGTCACCACTGCTAGACGTCAATCCATCAAATGTGGTTACTTACATGCCGGACGGATTCAGCCTGAAGCACGGGCGCACAAAATCGAACTGCGGCGCAGCGACCTTTAAATTTGCAGGCGGTGCGGAGGCAGGAGGCGAGGTAAAACAAATGATGCAAGAACGGGACTGGAACATCTGATCGACATTGTACCGACGCCGACTGGGTAAAAGGACTACGTGCAGAGAGCGTGGCCTCAATCATGACACAATGATGCCAACAAGGCTCACCAGCACACACTTGTGCTCCTTCTTGACTTCGTGCGTATAGGACTGCGTGGAAGGACCGTCAATTCTCGACGCAATAACAATCTGACCATGCCAGTGAGCACGTCGACAGTGCAAGCTGTATGGAGCTATGTAAGATGTAGCATCATGAGCGGGGGAACTTGCACTTACGAGGTCACCCTCCTAATGATTTGCAGGTCATCGCGCCGCAGTCCAGAAATCACTTATCGTACAACTCTTATGCATCCGACGCCGTGCGCCTCATTGACACACGCGCGACGCACAGAAGCAGCCGCGATGCCTCCTCGTCCCTTCTCCCTCCTCATTCCTCCTCCTCATCCATCATCCCCGCCCCCCCCCCCCTCCAACTCCATCCCGTCTCGTCCCTCTTGGAGAAGAGCGAGTGTTGGGACGATGGCAACTCGAAAGCGATCCTCGGACCCTCCTTGCGGTCCAGACATACCAACTTTCCGAACTGCGTCCGTCCGTGGTGGCGAGGAAGCCCCCCCCCCCCCCGAAGTCCAACTGCCGTTGTCTCAGCTGGCCACCCTCTGATTCTCCTCCTCCTCCTCCTCCTCCTCCTCCTCCTCCTCCTCCTCCCTGAATGTCCTTGTTGGGCTCATGAGAAACACGAAGAAAACGACAGGTTCCCGAGGCTGGATGGTGCCGCTCTCTGTTCCGTAGCCTCTCATGCTCGAGGCTCAGGCGTGTGCACGGACGCTCCAGCGCCTCTGAGCGGTCCCATCGTCGAGCGAGGCTAGCGAAAAAAAACACCTTTCCTGTCTCACGGCGTCGCAGTGACATCCTCCTCCTCCTCCCGCCCCTCCCCCCCCCCCTCCACGTGGAGGCACCCCCGCGGCGCCTCGCTTCAAACGGCGTGCGCCAACGCCTCGCCGTCCCGCGCAGCGCGCGGCGACGGGAGGCAGCGGCGAGGCGCCGGGGCCCGCTCCCGCGCCCGTGCTCGGGGGCGCGGGGGGGCGCGGGGGGCCCGCGGCGAACGCCGAGGGGCAACGACGAGGGGGGGGGGAGGGCGGGCCCCTCTCTTGGGTGGGAGACTTACGTGGGCCCTGGACACGACAGGGCCGTTTTTGTTTACCCGTTCCGTTCTGCCGTTTTTCTGTTGCCGGCTCCGACGCCGTTGTTCTTCCCGGCCCCGTCGCCGCTCTTCTGACGGGCTCCCGCGCCGGCTCCAATCCTGGAGCCATGCACTTTTGCTGCTGCTTCCGGTCGCCGTTTTCTTTCTTGCCGTGCCCAAATTTTCAAGTGGCACTCTTTTTCGGAAACGGTGCAAAAACGGCCCCGCCGTTTCCAGGGCCCCCTGACTCCGGATCCGCCCTACTTTGGGGAAATTCGTAAGTAGGGCTTGGAATTTCCGCCTTATTTTTCAAGCCCCGCTGATGCCAATTTCCGCCCTACTTTTCTGCTGCTGTTTCCGCCCTACTTCTGTGGATGTCCGCCCTACTTTATACTGGGTGCAGAAATTTTCGGCCTACTTTCTCGGCCTCTTATAGGTGGATTTCCGACGCAATTTTAAGTTGGAGAAGAAGCCAAAGTAGGGCGGATCTGGAGTCAGGGCCCAAGAAGGTGGGAGACACGCCGACCTGGACTCGGCGACGCGTCGCCGCTGGAGCGGCGCCGGGCCCGCGGCATCGCCATAAGTCGCACGCGCCTGGGCGGGGCGGGGCTGTCGGGCCCACATCTAAGGGGAAACAAACCTACCTCGCTTTTGACCACCCTCGCTTCCAAGAGATATCAAGCGATGCCAAACTACGGCCTGCACTGGTCAGGCCGCTTGACGAGGAGGCGCGTGGTATGACTTGGTTTTGCCTGGAAGCGAAAGCGGGGTAGGTAATTCACGCTCTGAACATCGGCGCTCAGTGGGCGGGCGGGCTTCGGCGCGTTCCTCCCTCGGAGCCGATCTGGGGGAGCGAAGAATGCCATTAGCATCAAAACTCGGAGGTCCGCGCGGACTTATCGGCTCGGAGCTGGACCCCCCTCCCCAGCGCGCAGAGCACGCCAGGGGCGGCGCCGGAGGCGCCGCCAGGGGGGTCCAGCGCGGATCCGAGAAATCCGCGCGGACCTCCGAGTTCTTCTGTTTATGTAATTCTTCGTTCCCCTACCATCCCCCCCCCTTCGTTGCCCTCGAGAACGTGCTCCACAAGGGATCACAAACTCCGCAGGGGTCTGCCCGCAGAAATTCTACAAACGGCAGGGCGCTCCCGGCGCGAGAGAGCCGGCTGCACAAAATACCCAGCGGTCCTGTGCGGCACGAGTGGCCTTCAGTCCGCGCCTTTCGGGTGTCACTGGAAAGGGGGGGGGGGAGGCGAAGCGCGGGTAGGCTGCTTCAGGCCAGAGCTGGGGGGACCTGTGTGGGCCCGCACCAAGGTCATCCTGGCGAAGGGCCGCTCTCACGCGGATCCGAAAAAAGGAAGGGGGGTGCACTGTGAGAGAAAGGGTTGTGTTGCTCCCATCGTACTTCAGGACCACATCCCAGAAACAAGTTCGAGCGCCCGGAAAAGTGTCGAAACAGTGTCGAACGAGCATCGCCTCCCAGTGCCCGACGCGTGAGAACCCCCAAGTTTCGATGCTTTCGTGGTGCTCGAAATTCCTTCCTGGTGCTCAAGGCAAAAGTAGGCTGGAGCACCATGAAGAAAGGGGAGCGGGCCTGGCAGGCGGGGCAAGCTCGAGCGGGTACATGCCAGGGCCTGTGCCCGCTCGGCCCCGTGGCTGCAGCGCTGCTCGCGCGCACGTTCTGCGAGGCGGCCAGGGGCCCGCGGGTTCCGCCGGGGTCCGAGTCGCTGGGGCGCCGGCGGGCCCCGCCGCGCCGAGAACGCATGCCGCGGCGACGCATCGGCGACGTCGGCACGGGGGCAGTCGGGCTCCACATCGAGCCGCAGCGCCGATGCATCGGCGATGCGGCGCGAGGCGCCGACCCCATCTGCTCGGACTCCGTTCGGGAGGCCTGGAGACAATGGGTGGCCGGCCGGGCACTCTTCGCGAGGGCCGCGGCCGGCGAGCATCAGAAAGCAACGCTCGGTGGATCCGCAGGCTACTCCTGGAGCCTTGCAGCGGCAACCCTGGTAATCAGCTTCTTGAAGTCCTCAAAACCTGCCGGGCGCCGTCTACCCAGCAGGATGGAATGAGGAGAGGGAGGGGAGCGGACGGACGGAGCGAAGAACTGAGGCAGCAAGAGCAGGACCGCTAGGACCGCGCGGCTAAGCACAGCGTGTGCGATGGGAAAACATGAAGGGGGCTATCCGGGGCCACGTCGGAGAAGGAGGGGGACGAGAGTGGGGAGGACCTCGTTCGCATTAGGCAGGGCACGGCGACTGTGAGAAGCAGCCCGCTGCTTGGGGGAGGGCTTTCCAATCCGCGCCGACGAAGAGATGTACAGTCGCCGTGTGCTACCACAGGGAGCGCCGCATGAGGACCGAAGGGGCGCTCCTGGCCACGGCGAAAGCCTCGGCCACGATTGGGTCCCTCGCGCCACGCCCAGGGAACGGCCTGAAAGCCAGAGCCCCTCCAGCACCTGAAGTGGTCCGTCCTGAAGGGGAACTGGAACACACAAATGAATACACACAAATAACACATCCCCCATATTTTCACATATTTTCTGGGTGTTTGTCTTCCCCCCCACTCCCCATATTTTCCTATATTTTCTGGGAATCGCCGATTAATTCTGTCTGTGTGTTTCTCCCCTCCTGACTTCCTTCGTCGTCTGGATTCTGGGGCGAGATCCCGCGGATACGCGGTCGCCCGGATCCGCTCCGCGTGAGAGATCCGCGAACAAACAGCTTCGTATCCGTGGGGGTCGCGGCCCAGGGGCCAGGCTCGCGAGGCCACGGACACGGATAAGTGTCCTTCTGCGGCAACTCGTGGGAATTCTTCTGCAGCAATCCATGGGAGTCTCCCGTGTCGTGTTGCCGGATCTTGCGAATCGACGCTAACCAACTCTACTGTAATAAGCGCTAGTCGAGGCTGATCAACGCTAAATTTAGATCGGGCATGCCCCCCTACAGGCGGAATTTGGGCGAAATGTTAAAGATGCTCAAAATATGCAAACATACTCAAAAATACTCAGGAAATCGTCCCCAGACTATTTTTACTATTTTTGAATATTCCTCCTGTAGAGGGACAGGCCCGACTTAACGCTAAATCGGCGCTCTCTCATAGATTACCAGACGCCAGCGCACGCCGGTGCACTCTAGGAACAGAGCTTCGAGAACATGCAGGGCTCCTCACAGAAGCTGCTGCCGAACCTTCGTCCGCAGTGGCCAGTGTCCGTGGCACACCTGGGACGAGAGGCCCTCTCGTCCTCCTCCCCCTTCTCCCCCCTCCCCCCACCCCTCCTCCCCTCCTCTCCTCCCTCCTCCTCCTCCTCCTCCTCCTCCTCCTCCTCACCTCCTCCTCCTCCTCCTCCTCCTCCCCTCCTCCCCCCCTCCTCCCCTCCTCCCCCCCTCCCCCCCTCCTCCCCTCCTCCCCCTCCTCCCCCTCCTCCCCCTCCTCCCCCTCCCTCCTTAGGTGGCTAGCACCGGAGGGCGAGGAAGAAGGGCCTTGGGGGGCGACAGAGACGCCTCGTTCCAGCAACGCCACCCTGGTGGATCTATGTGGATCTGGTCCACAGTGGGGTCCCTCAGGGCCTGGGGGCGCCTCTTAGGAACAAAGGCCCAACGCTTCCAGTGTAGCCTTATGTCGGGTGTGTCCCCCTACGGGGGATTGTGGACGAAACATAAAAAAGTCAAAACAATGAACGAAACTTGCCAAATAATAACCAAAGAATCGTCCCCATGCTATTTTTGACTATTTCTGGATATTCCCCCTGTAGAGGGACAGGCCCGACGGAACCAGAGCCGCCTTTGGTGGCAGAGGCCGCCTGTCCAGTCGGCACCGCTGGGCCCAAGATCGACAGCGGCCCTTTGCTGGGCAGGCGAAGCCTTTTGGCCTCCGGTGGTCGGCAACCCCGCGGCGAGGCCGACAGCGAGACCTGCTCAAGAGGGACAGGGACTGCTGCCGCCCTTCGTCCCCAGTCTCAAGTCGGGCATGTCCCCCTACAGGGAGTTTTGGATGAAAAAAACATACCCGAAACATATTCCAACATATGCAAAAAAACTACTCAAACATGTTTTTTGGCTAGTTCTGAATATTCCCCCTGTAGAGTGACAGGCCCGACTTAACCCCAGTCTTTCCGTACGGCAGGTTCGTGTCGTGCCGACCCTGGCGCTGGTTTCTGACACCGCGGGGGTCGAGTTCAACCTGGAACGATCGGCCGTTTCCGAAACGTCAGATCGTTCAACATCGACCGCCTCTGGATCGCAGGCGGCGTTTGTCGTTGAACGCCTGTGACGGGTTCGCCGCCAGTCGGCACGACGCGCACCTACCGCATTAGAACAAGAAGAGGGGCCATGTTATCCTGGAGACATCATGGCCTCCGCCATGATATCGCCCCGCTCCGTAGTCATCACCTCCTCTTGTGAAGGGGCCCCACGACACACAAATGAATACACACAAATAAAACTATTCCCCATATTTTCCCATATCTGGGGGGGGGTGTCTTCCCCCCCACTTCCCATATTTCCTATATTTTCTGGGGATCGACGATTCATTGTGTCTGTGTGTTTTCTCCCCTCCTGATAGTCATCACCCCCTCTTGGCCGACCCTGAGCATGGAAGCGGCAGTCGCTCTGCGATCGGCGACGCGACGCGAACCTGCCGCACCCCCCTTTCTCAAATCGGGCCGACCTGGCACGGGAGGGGGGGGGCGCCAGCCGCCGCAGCAATCTTGCCAGAAGCATGGCAACAAATTTGGCAGATTTCGGGGGTGGACAGACCTCCCTTTAGTAAAACGTGGTTTCGGGAAAACTACCTCGGGCCCGAACCTGGCGGGCGCAAGCCTGGAAAATGACGGCCGCGGCGCCCTCTCGAGAACCGAAAACGGATCATTCACTAATCGACGTGTCAGGGTAGGAGGTCTGTCCACCCCTTGGACGCCCGAGTTATCCTGGGTAACTCGGGTCCGGGGTAACTCGGGTTTGGGTTCCCGAAAAACGAGCCCGAGTTAGCCCTGACCCGAGTTACCCCTGATGATTCGGGGCTCTGGACGCCCGAAATATCCGGGGTAACTCGGGTCCGGGATAACTCGGGTTCGGAATCCCGAAAAGCGAACCCGAGTTAGCCCTGACCCGAATTACCCCTGATGATTCGGGGCTCTGAACCCCCGAAGATTCAGAACCTGTGAGGCGGGCTCCGGAAATGCTGAACACGGTGCATCTTCTACTTCCGCCGGCTTCCGCCCGCCGTCTTCTGGCGGGGGCGGCCTCGTCTTGCTCCCGCCCGCCTCTGGGCAGCCTTCCGCCGGGGAAGGAGGTGGCAATTCCTTCGACCCTCAAAGGCGAAGCCTCCTCCCCCTCCTCCTCCTCCTCCTCCTCCTCCTCCTCCTCCTCCTCCCCCTCCCCTCCCCCTCCCCCTCCCCCCCCCTCCCCCTCCCTCCTCCTCCTCCCTCCTCCTCCTCCTCCTCCTCCTCCTCCTCCTCCTCCTCCTCCTCCTCCTCCTCCTCCTCCTCCTCCTCCTCCTCCTCCTCCTCCTCCTCCTCCTCCTCCTCCTCCTCCTCTCCTCCTCCTCCTCCTCCTCCTCCTCCTCCCTCCTCCTCCTCCCTCCCCTCACCCTCCCCCTCCCCCTCCTCCTCCTCCTCCTCCTCCTCCTCCTCCTCTCCTCCTCCCCTCCTCCTCCTCCTCCTCCTCCTCCTCCTCCTCCTCCTCCTCCTCCTCCTCCTCCTCCTCCTCAACTGTCTTTGGATCGAGCGGGACGGCCTCTCCCCAGGTCGAGCGGCGATCCGGGAGCAGGCAGTTGGGGAGGGCATCCCAGGCGAGGCGGGGGGGTCCGATCCCTGCCCTCCGGGCCCGGTCCTCCGTCTTCTCCTGCCGCCCCCTGCCTCTCCGCGACCTCCCCAGTCCCAGACCCCCTCGAGTTATGAAAAAATCACGACGGGAGGTTTTTCATTATTTTTGGCCTCTGGGGACCCTTACCGGCCCTCGGGACCGTCAGAAAACGACTCAGGACGAAAAACCGGTCCCGGGGAATGGGTCCAGACAGCTGGGGGTCGACGTCAAGAAAAATTCACGACGTCGGGGGTCTGGGGTCGACGCATGCGAGAAGCAGCCCTGCTACAGCAAGATCTGGAGGATTGGACGTGGCCATGGCAGAAGGCAGAAGAGGCCAAGACGACGTACGTGATCATAAGCAGCCCGAGGTCTGCGCAAATTTTTGGATCACCGGTGGACCACCCTGGCGGCGTCTCTGGATGCGTCTCCGTCGCCGCCCCTGGCCGCCTCCGGCACTATCCGCGCGCCCGGGGGGGGAGTCCAGCGCCGATATATGATCCCGGGCTCCGGGCCCACGGGCCCCCCCCCCTCCCCCCCCAGATGGTATGGTCCCAGGATTCCTCGGGCCCCCCTGCCCCCCCCAGATGGTATGGTCCCAGAGACGACGACGACGACGACGGCGACGACGACGACGATGACGACGACGACGACGACGACGACGGCGACGACTACGACGACGGCGACGACGACGACGACGACCACGACGACGACGACGGCTGCGGCGGCGACGACGCCGGCGGCGGCGGCGGCGACGACGACGATGACGACGATGACGACGGCGACGACGACGACGACGACGAGGACGACGACGACGACGACGAGGACGAGTAGGACGACGAGGACGACGACGACGACGACGACGACGACCTCTGAAGCACCACAGCACCACACATCCACAGGGGGGGGGGAGGGGGGCACCGCAGCGCAGCACCACGCCACGCCCACCTCTGAACCACCACAGCACCACACCACATCCACAGGGGGGGGGAGGGGGGCACCGCAGCGCAGCACCACGCCACGCCCACAGGGGGGGGCGGGGGGGACCATCGCGCGGGGGGGGGGGGCCCAATGGCATCAGCATTGGGGGGGAGGGGGGGGGGCCCAAGCCCTGGACCATATTTCAGACATCTGCGAGAATGTGCGCCGCATGTGTGTAAACGCTGGTGCATGTCGAAAGACAAATATGCTCGTAGGGAACGCATCCATGTTGCAGCGCTGCCATCTTGCGGCGGTCCCACACCCGTGTTGGCGGGCAGGTTTTGTGACCCCTGACGAGAGCCCCCGGGGGGGAGCCCTCGGGAGCCTGATGGGGCCAGATGTGACCCCGTGTCGGCCCCGTGACCCAACGGGGCTGTGTGACCCCGTGTTGGCCAGGACCGCCGCTCCGGTACAGAACCCTCGTGACGCTACACTATGGACGGTTGCATACATACTCGTATGCCGTATTGGTTGTTCGATCCTCCTCCTGCATGCTGCAAGCGTTGCTTTTCATGCCGCGGCGATTACCGCTCGTCGACTTCGACGCCATCCTGCGGCCGACCGTACGCGATCAATCGGGCCGCATCCTCCTCGTCCTCCTCTGGCTTTGGCGAGGCGGCTGCGGCGCATCGCCTCAGAGACACGGGCGCGCAGCAGTACACCCAGAAGCCCACGCAGCGCAGGCACCTCCGTACCTCGGCGGCGACGTCCTCCAGTGTCATCCTCCTCGCGGCCGGGCGGCCTTTGGCAGCCAGGTGCCTGGGGCCCACCTCCTGGCGCGTGTTGGTGTCGGCGAGCATCAGCCCGCCGAAGCCTGCGCCGCCGCAGCACAGCACGGGGCCCAGGCTGCAGACGCATCAGGAGGCAACTCCCGGGAGGTCTTCGCAAGAACGAGGAAACGGCAATGCGCCAGATGAAAGGGCCTTTGAGCCGGATCAGGTCGGAATCGGCCCGGGACGAAGCCAGATTAGCCGGGACTCAGCCAGATTAAGCGGGATAGCGTGAGTATGCTGGATGTGGCCACGCTCTGACCATGGACTTGCTAGCGCCCTCCCAGGAGTTGCGTCCTAAGAAGCACATGCACGGCAGCGGGGGGCAGCACAGCAGGAGCGGCACCAGCGCGAAGGCCTCCCACTCCTCGGGCCAGGAGGGGAGAGCCCCCCTCTCCCAGCAGCCCAGGCGCACGAGGTGGCAGATGCCGAGGGCGAGCACGCAATTGATGCCCATGCCGGCGCAGAACAGGAAGGCGGCGAAGATGATGGGCCAATTTTCCACGACCAATACCATTGGTAGGAGGGGAGAGAAATAAGGATGGGGAGGTCCTCATCCTCTTTCTCCTCTTTCTTCATTTCCTCCTCCTCCTCCTCCTCCTCCTCCTCCTCCTCCTCCTCCTCCTCCTCCCTCTCCGACCTATGGTAGAGGTGGTGGAAATCGGGCCCATCAGAAGAAGCGTAAATTGTGCTGGCCGACGCAAGCGCCCATGAAGCCGCAATGGTGGTCCAGGCGGAGCACACACTGGTCGCACTCCCGGCAGTGGCCGCACCTGTGCGGGCGCCACACCCCACACTCCCGGCACCACTTCTGGTACCAGGCCGTCCCGTCCTGCAACCGCCGCTCCCGTGCGCGAGAGGGGTCGTCGTCTCTGGATGAAGACAAAACTGCGCAGACAGAAAGCCTCGGAGGCCCGCGCGGCCTGCTCGGACCTGCGCTGTCAGCCCCCTCACTGGCGGCGCCAGGGGGGCTCCAGCGCAGACCCAGGAAGCCCACGCGGAGCTCCGAAAGTTTATGACTGCGCAATGTGTTCTTCTTCGGCTCTGGGACAGCGGGGTCGGGGCCCGGGTCGCCCTGGTCGGCCCGGGGCGTCCCGGGGTCCACCAGGTGGCACGCCAGGCACGCCACGATGGCCGCCGCGCCGAAGCCGCGGACGCCGCCCCGCAGGCCGTCCACGGCGGGCCCCCCGGCCGTGCGCCGGAAGAGCACCGCGGACGCCGAGACGACGCAGGCCACCAGGAAGCACGTGCCCACCGCGTTGCTCAGCAGGATGAGCCGCTTCTGCCACGGCGGGGCCGGCGTCCAGCGCGGCATCCCCTGGCCGCCCAGGGTCGCGGCGGGCGCCCCGGGTGGTCCTGGCCTCCTTGGTCGCCAGGCCGCGCGGGCCAACCTCCGACCCAAGAGGCCCGAGCCAGCGGGCTACGGGTCCACGGATCTCGCGCGCACGCTCACGTACACTTCCACACGCGCGTTCACAAACACTTGCGCACACACCTTACGCATACGAACACGCACGCGCACGCGCACACGCGCACACACACGCACACAGACACAGACACAGACACAGACACAGACACAGACACACACACACAGACACACACACGTAGACGCAGACGCAGACGCAGACGCAGACGAAGACGCAGACGCAGACGCACACACACACACATACACACACACACACACTTTTGGCGGTCGCGGCCGCGCGCGCAGCGTCGAGGCGGAGAAAAGGGGAAGAGCGAGGGGGAGGTTCTCTGGCCGCTCTCCCCGCGGCATGTCAGGCAGGCGCGCACATGGCGTTGCTGCGCCCGCTCTCTGGTGTGCTACCTCGCGGCGCCTGCTGGCATTTCGGGAGACCAGGTGCCACGCATGCTATATCGCGGGAACCATGTGTGTGAGCCGTAATGCCAATGAATCTGAGCGTGGGTGGTCTGAGCGTCGGCGAGTCGGAGTGTGAGTGGACCCGGTACGATCGACCCTGCGTGTGAGTGCGTCTGGATGTAGTCAGTGTGACTACGAGCGGGTCTGAAGATGCATGAGTCTCAGTGCAAGCGGGTCTAAGTGCAAGGGTCTGAGTGCGAGTGAGTCTGAGTGTGGGTGAGTCTGAGTTTGAATGTGATGCATACAAATGTATGGGTATGAGTGAGGCCTGTGTATGAACCGGAAAATATATGCGCATCTGAGTATGATCCAATACGAGCGCGCGCGGGTCTGAAAGTGATCCGTGAGTCTGCGGAAAAGGTGCTGATGAGCAACACCGGGTGCGAATGAATGTATCCGAGTGGGGAAAAAAGGGAAGGAGGTGAGTGAGTGTGTGAGTGAGTGAGTGGGGAGCAGCACACGAATCTACAGAAAAGTCTGGGTGGGGCAGCAACAGACAAACCGCCTGAGGCGTCTCCCCAATCTGAGCGCGACTCCTGGAGTGTCCCCACCCCTGGCGGCGGGGTGCCCCGAGGCCACGCCTTCTGTATCGCGGTGAGCAGTGGACCACAAAAAGGAATACATCGGGGGGGCAGACGCACGCCCCCTGAGACATCCCCACAATCCGGACACGAAGCCTGGATTGTCCCCACCCCTGGCGGCCCACTCCTGGGGTGCCCAAGTGCCGCGACTGCTGTATCGCGGAGAGCACTCGAGCACTCAAGAAACAGTCTGAGGGGCAGGAACGGGCAAAACGCCCGAGCCATCCTCTCAAGCTTCTCTGAAAGCAAGGATGCTCGGCACCCAAACATGCAAACCGCCCAAGACGTCCCCGCAATCTGGGCGCGAACGGGGGAGTGAGATACCCACTGACGGCTCCCCCTTGGAGTGCTGAAACCAGCGCCTCGTCTGAGACATCCTCGCAATCTGTTTTGAAAACAAAGAATGCTGGGCACCCAAACCAACAAACCGCCTGAGACAGTGCGATAGCCTCTGGCGGCTCCCACTTGGAGTGCTGAAACCAGCGCCTCGCCTGAGACATCCTCATAGTCTGCGTGCGTGGATGATTCTGAGCGGGCGTGAGTCCGAATATGTGGCTGAGTCTGCGTGAAGGGACGAGTGATTCTGAGTATTGATGAGTCTGGGGGAGGAAGTGGTGTGACTGAGTCTGAGTATGAGTGAATCTGAGTGTGAGTGTGAGTGCGAGGGGGAGGAAGAAAAGGGGTCAGGTCGGGGAGGAAGAGCCGACGCAGACCGACTCGCAACCAGAGCCCCACAGCAGGATATGTATATTGAAACACGGGCTCCTGCGCGAGAGACCTCCGGCGGCGATCTGGAGGCACTATCTCCTCACCGTCCTGCTGAAAATCGGTCGCCGAAGCACCGGCCCCATCCCTGAGATCCGACATCGCAAACACTCGCCATCGCTCGGACGTCCATTCCCTGTGTTTTTTGTCGGTTTCGTGCGTGGTTTTTTCGCCAAATGATCAAGGATGCTCCTCGATGGTCCTCGCCGAAGGAAAAATGCAAACGTCCGAGCGATGCTCAGAACACGTTGCAGCACCGTCGTTCGAAATCACGACTGGATCCCTCGACACAGTCTCTGTGCGGCATGCCTCGAGCCGGATCGACCTGCGAGGGCCCAGAGGCTCACACCCGGGCGACAAGGCCGACTGTGCAGAAGTGGCGACGTCAACACCGCAAAAGGCTCACCACCCCGCGCAGTTCCGACGCTCGGCCCGGCCACGGAGCGGAGAGCGCGTGCGGAGAGCGGCGGGAACCTATGGAGTTGCCCTCGTCGTCCTCGTCGGAGCTCTCGTCGTCCTCGGCTTAGGCATGAATGAAGGACAAGAGCCTCGAGGGCAACGGGTGCTGAACCCCAGTGCCTTGCCGCCCCCACAAACCAGCTTGCTCTTCATCCGGAATAGTTGTTTGACGATCCCGTGGCCTGGGGAAGGCCCACGGACCCCGAAAACTGTTGAAAACCTGAGGGCCCGTCTCCTTCAGGATCCGTGTGCTCCATCAGAAAACAATAGGAACAACGCCGTACATGGTACCTTTCCGAGTGACTTCGTACCAAGCCGCCCCAACCCAACCCGAAGACCCAAATTTCGGGTTGGGGGGGTATGGGTTCCATACGTGTTTTTTCGATGTTCCCCGACCCCCCCTGGAAATGGACGGCAAATTGAGGCATTCGGGTTGGGTTGGGGTGGTTTGGTAGGTGGTGACCGAGCTCAGGGCGGATTTCTTGGTTCGGCGCTGGGCTTCCGTGCGCTGGCGGAGCGCCCTATCCCTGGCGGAGCGCCACAGGCGGCGCCGGAAGCGCCGCCCCAGGGAGCCCAGCGCCGATCCGCGAAATCCGCGCGGATCTCCGAAAGTTTATGCTTACGCAGCCTTTCGGACTCGATTCCTTCGGCTACACGCAAGCGTGACCCTGGGCAAGCGTTGCCTTTAGGTCGGGCCTGTCCCCCTACAGGGGGATTCTGGGCGAAAAATGGGAAATACCCTAAAACATGCACCCAACGTCATCCGCACTCGTAAAATACTATTAAAAAAATTGAAAAACTGTAAAAAAATTGAAATATTCTAAAAATACCATATAAAACGATCGAAAAATCGTCCCCGCACTATTTTTTGACTATTTGGGAATTTCCCTCCTGCAGAGGCACAAGCCCGACGTACGGCTATACGCGAGCGCAGCCCTGGGGCAGGCGTTGCCCCCGGCGCGCGCTCTGCCGATATCCCTGCGCGCGGTGCGGCGGGTGGCGGCCAGCGCGCTCGGGGCCGGCCTCTCCAGAGAGAGAGAGCCCCGGGAAACCGCGCGCCAAAAGTGCGGGCAAGATTTGTGTCCACATCCAGTGCGCCTTCGATTTTTTGGGAAGGGGCGCCGCAAGGCCGAGGTGCACTGGGCATGGATCAAAATCGTGCCTCCAGGGGGGGAATTCATCCATATCCAGTGCGCCTTCGATTTTTTTGGAAGGGGCGCCGCAAGGCCGGGGTGCACTGGGCATGGATAAAGATCGTGCCTCCAGGAAGAAAGTTCATCCATGTCCAGGGCGCCTCGGGCTGCTGGGGAATGGAGCCCGAAACTCCATACTGCAGTGGATATGGACAAAAGTAGTGCTCGCAAAAAGGTTCCAGACAAGGGCATTATGTTCGAACCCTGTGCCTCGTGATGCCCCCCAGACCCCCCCGAAACTAATCTTGGTACCGCTCCATGCCCCCCCCCCTTCCCAGAGGAGAAGAGAGAGAGGACCGGAAGAATCGAGGAGGGAGGAGGCCACGCGCGGCCGCGAAGACCGCCGAATCCGGAGCCCCCCGGATCGGCGGCACTGGCCGGAGGCCATTTCAATACTGATGGCGTGACGACGGAAGCGGCGTGAGTGGGCAGAAATACTCGAACCCCAGAGCACCGCTTTTGACTGAGATCAACACTGATGTCGGGGGCGCGGGGGTGATTTAAAATCTCCCTCGAATGCGTAAGGGTTCCGATCTATTGTCCATCTACTGTCCCTCCGGCAAAGAGCCACAGACGCTCCACGGCGATCCTCGGACTCGTCGCTGTCGCCGACCTCGCCGTCGTGGTCGGAGCCACCCCTGTCCTGCCTCTGGCCCTGGGTGTCACCGGGCGCGCTGGAGGCGGACCGGTCCCTGGCGGCGGCCGATCTTAGGAGGAGGAGGAGGAAGAGGAGGAGGATGAGGAAGATAATGAGGAGGAGGAGGAGGAGGAGGAGGAGGACCAGTGGAAACACAAGAGTCATCAACGATGTTGGAATTAACCCTCCCTCCAAGCTCCATTTTCACAGGCCCGACAAAGGTTCATTTCCATTGAAGGAACTGCCTCGTTGGAAAACAAACGTTTGAAGTTCCTGAAGCGTGCCAAAACATTGTTCTCGGGATCTCAACGCCACGTATCAACCTGACTGCTGCGTCTTGACGATCCAGAACCGTGCCAGAACGTCATGTCTGGGACTTCAATACAGCGAATCAATATAACTGTTGCGCCCGCGTAATCGTGAATCCTGCCCGAACACGATTTCTCGTGCATTGGTCATGGGGATCCGTGAAGCTTTTGCAAATGTTAAAACCAATGTACGCGGCGCTAAGGCGAGAACCACATTTTGAAAACGGCCCGCCCTCAATCCGTGAAGCTCTTGCAATTGGTCTAAACGAATGTGCGCGGCGCTAGAATCACATGTTGAAAGCCAGCCGCCCTCAACCCATGAAACTCTTGCAACTTTTACAAAAGAAATGTGCGCGGCGCTAAAGCGAGAACCACATTTTGAAAACGACCCGCCCCCAATCCGTGAAACTCTTGCTGATTATAAAAACGAATGTGCGCGGCGCTAAAGCGATAACCACATTTTGAAAACGACACGCCCCCAATATGTGAAACTCTTGCCAACAATTGAAACCGAATGTGCGCGGCGCTAAGGCGAGAGCCATATATTGAAAACGACCCGCCCTCAATCCGTGAAGCTCTTGCCATTATTCTAAACGAATGTGCGCGGCGCAAAAAAAAGCGAGAACCACATTTTGAAAATGACCCGCCCTCAATCCGTGGAACTCTTGCAAGTTGTTTAAACGAATGTGCGCGGCGCTAAGGCGAGAGCCACATTCTGAAAGCGACCCGCCCTCCATCTGTGAAACTGTTGTCCCTTCTTTGGCTTCAGAATCATAAGTGGTGAAGCAGTCTCAGGCGACACGCCCGGCCCGCCCTAAAAACTGGCCCCGGGGTGCGACAGGGAGGAGTTATCTATAAGGAGAAGGAATGGAAAAAGGAGGAGGAGGAGGAGGAGGACAGACACACAGACGATGAATGGGACCCAACGTGTCGTCAACTGCTCCACTGGTGCACTACCTTCGTAGCGTGCTAGCTCGCAATCTGGCTCTGGGTCTTTCGAGGTAAACCACTTCTCTCACCGTGCGCAAGCGTCACGAACTGCACAGGCACTGCAGGCACCCATCTCCCGCGCTCGGCGGACCAAGTGCACTTGGGAATGAAAGTACTTAGGGATTCTGCGAGAAACAACTGGAAACAAAACTTTGCACTTTACTTCGCTTGCACAGAGAGAGAGAGAGAGCTGAAACACTGCTGACAGCGTGAAAGCATCGCCGGGCCGTGCCTGACGAAATTCTCTGTTGGTTCTGTTGTGTTTGGCTCAAGCATCCCAGCGTGGAGGAACAAAACGCGCCCCCAACCTTCGATCATTCCCTCGAGCTTCGTACTCGCGCACTACGGCTGTGTTTTTTCCCTGCTGAGGTTGAGGTGGAGGAATGGGGCGGAGGTTCAAACATTAGGGTCGGTAGACGTGTGGGAAATAGGCACTGAACGGCTGGGCGCAGGAGCAGGAGGGAGGCGAGGAGGAGGAGGATGAGGAGGACTATGAGGAAAAGGAGGGCCCTCCGTTTGGTGTAAAGTACCCAGCGGCGTACCGAACCTATTTACATCAAGTGCACAAAGCACTTGGCCCAAATCCCGCCAGTCCTTAGGGCGTGAGTGGTTTAGATCACTTCCTCTTCCAACCCCCTTCTTCTTTCCCTTCAGGGAAGGGCTTGCCCTTCCCCCTCCAAGATCGGCGAAATGGTCTAAACCATTGATCTTACTAAGGTGTTGGCCTAATGTTGGCCACCTGGGGGGGTACCCTAATTGAGTACCAGCCTTCCTCTGACCGATCACCTCCAAGATGTCCCCAAGATGGCCCCCGAGACTCCCGTGCTACCCCGTGGAACCGCAGACTCGGCAACAACAAGCCCATCTACGGCCATTCCCGACAACCGCCAGCCGTCGCCGACGCAACGGCGGCGACGACGGCGCCTCCTCCGCCTCCGTCCCTTCCCCCCGAAGCACCGCTAAGCTCTGCCGGAGTTCCTCTAAGCTCCCGTAGGCTCCCCTAGGCTCCTCAAGGGTCCTGTAAGCTTCTCTGCGCTCCGCTGGCTCCGCTAAGCTCCGCTCGGCTCCTCTGGGCCCCGCGAAGGTCCGCTGAGCTCCTCTGAGCTCTTCTGAACTCCTCCAAGTTCCGTGGAGCCCATCCACGCTCTGGGAGGCTCCCCTCCAAGGCCGCGCGAGGCCCCTGGGAAGGGGGAAGGGGGGGAAGGGGCAGGGGGCGAGGCGGAAAAAGTACAGCGGAGACGGGGAGAGGGGCAGGCAGGGCCGGTTGGCCGTTCTCTTAGGTCGGGCACGTCCCCCTACAGGCGGATTTGGGAAGAAGCTAACACGTAATCAAACAATATTCAAAGAAGAGTCAAACGAACACGGCAAATCGTCACCATATGATTTGTCTAACCACTCTTGAGTGTTCCTCCTGTAGAGGGACGTGCCCAGCTGAACCGTTCCCTTTTTTGCCAGAGGGGCCCACGCCAATAGAGAGAGAGAGAGAGAGAGAGAAAAAAAAAAAAGAGAGAGAGAGAGAGCGCGAGTGCATCGCGCGCGCGCGCTGGGCCCAGGCGGCGGCGGAGCGAGCCCGCGAGCCCGCGTGAAGCCCTAAATAGAGAGCGAGGCCCCTTGTTGTCATACAGCCGAACATCTGATCAATCCTCGGTGGCGACTCATAGGAGCCTCCATCTGGTCGGCTTTTGCGAATCGACGCTAGTCGATGCTAAATCGACGCTAAAACGACGCTAAATCGACGCTAATCGACGCTAAATCGGCGCTGTCTCATCGACCACCAAACGCTAATCGACACTAAAGACGGAATTGCGATGGTACACCAGGCTCCTATGTTTTGCTGCCGAAGACACTTGTCGTCTCATCTGGCCCAGCTGTCCGCAATCTCCCAAAGCAGACCGGGGCCAATTTCTGCTGCTCACGCCGGAGGGGCGAGCGTGCGCCACGGACTGGGCCAGCATTCCAGCCAGGCTGGCCCAGCTTTTCGGGAGGAGGCCTCTTGAGCAGATGCTCGACCGTAAGCCCGACCTCGACACACCGGAGAAAACCTAAGGAACGCCCGAGACAAACGGCAGAAAACGATGAAGGAACGCTGCTGAGCCCCTCCCCAGCTAAGAGGGTTCCTTCTTCAGCGGTAGCACGACAGCCTCGCGCTTGCGAGGCCCGGATGCCTCCACGACTGCCCTCCAGGGGGCTCAAGACGGCCGAAGGTGGCCCCAAGTCGAGCCCAGGAGAGCCCCAAGACTCCTGAAGAGGGCCAGAGAACGGCCCAGTAGGGACCCCAGAGGGCCCCAAAACTGCCTTGCGGGAAGCCTTCACAACCACAACACGGCCCAAACGTGTTCTCGAGGGCTCCTCAACTAGTAAAGACGAAAAGCGTCACATGAGGGGCGATCGACAGAAGTTGAAGTGGGAAGACGGAGAAACGAGAAGGAGAAGGAGCGGATTTGGGGTTTCCGATTCTTGCTCTTCCCATGGGGCACCCTCGACAAAAATAACATCAAACAAATGTTGCGCAATTTCCTTGTCGATGTGATGTTCCGAGTCTGGGTGGCACCTCGTGGTCAGCACTTGCTCAGAGGCCTCCTGGATGAGGTCCTAGTAGCTGGGATCTGAGGATCGCGCCGCATCGCCAATGCATCGGTGAGGTATCGCCGACGTCGACGGCGCATCGGCGACGTCGTCGTGGAGAAAACCGGCCTCCGCAGCGAGCCGCATCCCCGATGCCTCGGCGATGCGGCGCGATCCTCCGACCCAATCTGGGAGGCCTCGACTAGACGAGCGCGTTCCACTACTCGCAAAGCAACTCCTCGCAAATGGCCTGGATCCGCGGCGGGGGATCTACGATAAATTACATTAGAGCAGACATGTGTGTTTTTTGGGGACGCTTGCGAGGAGCCACTCTGCGAGTCGTAGAACGCGCTCGATGATGGACTGTTGGCGCCCCCTCTCCCGTGTCGGTTATCGTGAAACCTCCGAGCCGCACCCGCCCAGACCGCGCTTTTGGTGGGCGCTGCGGCGGCGGGAGGGCCAGGGGAAACCACAAATTATGTTACCCCCATCGCACTTAAGGACCACATCCCAGAAGCAAGATCGAGCACCCGGAAAAGTGTCGAGCCAGTGTCGAAACAGTGTTGAACGAGTGTCTCCCAGGGCCAGACACGTGAAAACCCTCGAGTTTCGGCACTCTCTTGGTGCTCGGAATTCTTTCTGGTGGTTCAGGCTAAAGTAGGTTGGAACATTATGAATAAAAAAGGTGCCGATACTGCTACCCCCCGGGCCTCTCCCGGGGTGCGTTCTGACCAGAATTTCGAAGCGAATCCAGCGGTGGCGATGAGGGCCTCCGAGGAGGCCCCACGAAAGGGGAAAGCGAGGGAAAGGTAGCAGGACAGGTAGGTACCTTTTCCTCCTCCGAGGGCCGCGGCTCGCAGAAGCCTGCGCGGCAAGAGCTGCGCCAGCATCTTCTCGGCCTCCTCGTCTCCCAGCACCTCTGCCGGGGCGCAGGGCGGGGCGCCTGCTTGGGTAGAATTCCAAAAATCCACCCCCATACTAACCACCCCGACACGCGAAGTCGTTTGGTAGGCGCGCCCAAAGAAGGAATCGAACAGGGCAAGCCTGCTTCGTAAACGCCCAGGGCCGTTTAGTAAACGCCAATTGTCCGGTGCGGGTGGCTTTTCCTCCCTTGATTGGGGAGGGGAACATTCTCAAGGGGGGGGCGTTTCGGACTCGAGGTCTGGGCTTTCGGGCGTCCTCGTCGGCCCCCTTGGCGGTTTCTCAGCCTATCAGGGTGCCCTCCGGCGGCTGCGCCTCGCCGAAAAAGGCGCCCAGAAGTTGCCGGGATCGTCCCGAACGGCAGGAGGCCCGAGTTGTGACACGATCTGACCCGAAAACCAGACGACGAAGGCCACAAGTTTGGACACCCGAAATGGGCACGGAAAGAATGGGTACAATGCCCAACAACAAATGTTGTCCCAAACCAACAGCGGCCGCTGTTGGGCAGGCGGCCTTCTGTCTCGAATGGACACAGGCCGCGGCGACACCGACAGCGAGTCCTGTTCAAAATGGACAAGAACTGCTGTTGGGCATTGTACCCATTCTTTCCGTACCCATTTCGGGCGTCCAGAACAAGGGGGGGAGAGCTCGCGCGGGATCCAGAAACGGGCGGCATCGGCGAACCGTTCTGCCGTTCCAACGCCCGCTCTGCCACACAGCTCGGTGGCACGGCAGTGGCCTGCAACAGGCGCATGTGCCATTACATCCTGTTGCGCGAGAGCAGAGGTCCCCCAAGTCTCCGCAGGACCATCTAGAGATCAGAGATTCTCGTCGGCGACTTGTTGGCATACTACCGAATTCTCATGTTGCGTGCCGATGTCATGCCACTTCTCACGGATACAAACCCTGAGAAACCTGAAGCAACCATCTCCAGCAATTGCCGATGGAACCGTTTCGATACCATCAGCCTCTAGCCGACAAGCAGATCGGGGCGAACAGAGCTTCCACGTGCTCTTCGTGCGCCTCGCACGCTGTGTCGCTTACACCATGCCTCCAGACATCTCGTCCATTCGGTGGGCTCACCGCCGCAAGCTAGAACGGACCCAGACCCCGACATCGTGATTTCTCCACAACGTCGACCCCCAAAAGTCTGGACCCCTTCCTGGGGACCGGTTCGTCATCCTGAGTCGTCTTGAGGACGGTCCCGAGGCCCAGGAAGGGCCCCTGGGGGCGGAAATAGCGAAGAACCTCCCGTCGTGACTGCTTCGCAACGCGAGGAGGTCTGGGGACATACCGTCAATTTGGCGGGCTCGCCGCCGCAAGCCAGAACGGAGATCGCATGTCGAAATGACGAACGAACAACACGCGCCCATGCCCACATGTGGGACGGCAGGGGCTATGGGCGCGTGTCTTCGGATGGGGGTCCCCGCTCGAGAGGAAACACCCCCCAGGATCCGACGACCCGCACCCATACCCATGGCCAGTCCGCCTCCCAACGTTCCCCCTACGGGTGTGTGTGTGTGTGTGTGTGTGTGTGCGTGCGTGCGTGCGTGCGTGCGTGCGTGCGTGCGTGCGTGCGTGCGTGCGTGCGTGTGTGTGTGTGTGTGGGTGTGTGCGTGTTGTTCGCTCGTCATCGACAGGCGTGCCTCCAGCACCCGCTCGCCGCGCCGCCCGCCGGCCGCCCGTGCTCGGCCGCGGGTGCGTACGGGCCTCGCTGCCGCCGGGGCGGGCAGGCGCGGCGAGCCCCGGCGGCACCCCACCGCGGAGCGATCTCAGGGAAGAATGGCTCGAGGCCCTCGCGGGCCCCCTGCCGGAGGAGCGGCGCGCGAGAGCACGTGCCGCGGCCCCAGACCCCGTCGAGAAGGGGCAGACAACAGCACGAGGGGGAGCTGTTCGCCATGCTCGGCCTCCCGGGGGCCCTGGCCGGGCCGCGGGACCGTCAGGAAACGGCTCAGGATGAAGAGCGCGTCCTGGGGAATAGGTCGAAAACTTGTGGGGGTCGGCGTCCTGGAAAAATTAGCCTGACGACGGACCCAACCATATACAATTGCGAGTACCGCATTGCGGGTACCCGTTTCGGTGGAGCTCCCTACGGGGCCACGAAGCGCTGTCCTGGGTGGTTGGCGCATGCGGCCTGTACCACTGGAGCCTTCGGAGGAGCTCCCTATGGGGCCACGAAGCGCTGTCCTGGGTGGCGTTGACGCATGCGGCCTGTGTCACTGGAGCCTTCGGTGGAGCGGGCCACGAAGCGCTATCCTGGGTGGCGTTAACGCACACGGCCTGTGCCACTGGAGCCTTCGGTGGAGCTCCCTATGGGGCCACGACGCGCTGTCCTGGGTGGCGTTGACGCATGCGGCCTGCGCCACTGGAGCCTTCGTTGGAGCTCCCAATGGATGGCGTTGACGCATGCCGCCTGTGCCACTGCAGCCTTCGGTGGAGCTCCGTATGGAGCCACGACGCGCTGTCCTGGGTGGCGTTGACGCATGCGGCCTGTGACACTGCACCCTTCGGTGAAGCCCCCTGTGGGGCCACGACGCGCTGTCCTGGGTGGCGTTGGCGCATGCGGCCTGCGCCACTGGAGCCTTCGGTGGAGCTCCCTATGGAGCCACGAAGCGCTGTCCTGTGTAGCGTTGACGCATGCCGCCTGTGCCACCTCCTTATGGGGCCACAACGCGCTGTCCTGGGTGGCGTTGACGCATGCGGCTTGTGCCACTGGAGCCTTCGGTGGAGCTCCCTGTGGGGCCACGACGCGCTGTCCTGTGTGGCGTTGACGCATGCGGCCTGTGCCACTGGAGTCTTCGGTGGAGCTACCTGTGGGGCCACGACGCGCTGTCCTGGGTGGCGTTGACGCATGCGGCCTGTGACACTGCAGCCTTCGGTGGAGCTCCCTAGGGAGCCACGAAACGCTGTCCTGGGCGGCGTTGACGCATGCGGCCTGTGCCACCTCCTTATGGGGCCACAGCGCGCTGTCCTGGGCGGCGTTGACGCATGCGGCCTGTGCCACTGAAGCCTTCGGTGGAGCTCCCAATGGAGCCACGAAGCGCTGTCCTGTGTAGCGTTGACGCATGCGGCCTGTGCCACTGGAACCTTCGGTGGAGCTCCCTATGGAGCCACGAAACGCTGTCCTGGGTGTCGTTGACGCATGCCGCCTGTGCCACTGGAGCCTTCGGTGGAGCTACCTGTGAAGCCACGACGCGCTGTCCTGGGTGTCGTTGACGCATGCGGCCTGTGACACTGCAGCCTCCGGTGAAGCTCCCTGTGGGGCCACAACGCGCTGTCCTGGGTGGCGTTGACGCATGCGGCCTTCGCCACTGGAGCCTTCGGTGGAGCTCCCTATGGAGCCACGAAGCGCTGTCCTGGGCGGCGTTGACGCATGCGGCCTGTGCCACCTCCTTATGGGGCCACAACGCGCTGTCCTGGGTGGCGTTGGCGCATGCGGCCTGTGCCACTGGAGCCTTCGGAGGAGCTCCCTATGGGGCCACGAAGCGCTGTCCTGGGTTGCGTTGACGCATGCGGCCTGTGCCACTGAGTCTTCGTTGGAGCTCCCTATGGGGCCCCGAAGCGCTGTCCCAGGTTGCGTTGACGCATGTGGCCTGTGCCACTGGAGCCTTCGTTGGAGCTCCCAATGGAGTCACGAAGCTCTGTCCTGGGTGGCGTTGACGCATGCCGCCTGTGCCGCTGGAACCTTCGGTGGAGCTCCGTATGGAGCCACGAAGCGCTGTACTGGGTGGCGTTGACGCATGCGGCCTGTGCCACTGGAGCCTTCGGTGGAGCTCCCTATGGGGCCACGACGTGCTGTCCTGGGCGGCGTTGACGCATGCGGCCTGTGACACTGCAGCCTTCGGTGAAGCTCCCTGTGGGGCCACGACGCGCTGTCCTGGGTGGCGTTGACGCATGCGGCCTGCGCCACTGGAGCCTCCGGTGGAGCTCCCTATGGAGCCACGAAGCGCTGTCCTCGGCGGCGTTGACGCATGCGGCCTGTGCCACCTCCTTATGGGGCCACAACGCGCTGTCCTGGGTGGCGTTGACGCATGCGGCCTGTGCCACTGGAGCCTTCGGTGGAGCTCCCTGTGGGGCCACGACGCGCTGTCCTGGGTGGCGCTGACGCATGCGGCCTGTGCCACTGGAATCTTCGTTGGAGCTCCCTATGGGGCCCCGAAGCGCTGTCCCGGGTTGCGTTGACGCATGCGGCCTGTGCCACTGGAGCCTTCGTTGGAGCTCCCAATGGAGTCACGAAGCGTTGTGCTGGGTGGCGTTGACGCATGCCGCCTGTGCCACTGGAACCTTCGGTGGAGCTCCGTATGGAGCCACGAAACGCTGTCCTGGGTGGCGTTGACGCATGCGGCCTGAGCCACTGGAGCCTTCGGTGGATCGCGCTATGAGGCCCCGAAACGCTGTCCTGGGCGGCGTTGACGCATGCGGCCTGCGCCACTGGAGCCTCCGGTGAAGCTCCCTGTGGGGCCACAACGCGCTGTCCTGGGTGGGTGAAACGCAGGGAGGTGACGAGGCGGATTCGAGGAGAGAGGAGGGGGAGGAGGAGGAGAGGAGAGGAGAGGAGAGGAGAGGAGAGGAGAGGAGAGGAGAGGAGAGGAGAGGAGAGGAGAGGAGGGGAGGGGAGAGGAGAGGAGAGGAGAGGAGAGGAGAGAGGTGAGAGGAGAGGAGCGGTGAGGAGAGGAGTGACGCGGGGCGCTGCCTCTTCAAAATGAGGACCCAACACCACAGGACCGTTAGGACAAACGAAGACCCAACACCACATCATGGTTGGGAATCATGAAGCCGGGCGTCTGGGTCGGGGCTCGCACGCCTGCGCGGATGTCAGCGCAGAGCCGTGCGCACTAGGGCAGCCCGGGGTTGTCTGCAGACGAAGCTCCCGCCCGCCCGTCTGTGCGCCAAGATCAGTAGCACACCGTGGTCGACTCGAAATCCTCGGCTCGTGGCCTCTGCCATCGGGGGGAATAATTAGGGGTTGGCAGGATTGCCTGCTGGCGGCGCCTGG